GAAGTCCACACATGTTAAATTTGCCAAGTTTGAGAAACACTTTGTATGGGCCTCATTTGGGATTTTGGGTCACTTGATTCCCACTAAAATGACTAGCGGGATTTCTTCTCCCAGCACTGTTGGGATAACAAAGCTCCCCAAAATCTGTTCCTGAATACCAGGAATACAGCCCATAACCTACTTACTCCTGGCCTTGCTACCAGGTTCTCTGGTTGAACCCCAAGGTTATCAACCAGAGCTGAAAGATGAGACATCTCTATTATTAAAATAAAAATTGTTTCATTCGGCTTCAAATTAGCAAGCAGTAATTTCACTGAGCAAAGGAGCTGCAGATGGCAGCCCTGAATTTCTCTCATGTGCCCTTATGCCATGTGATTTTAAGGTTCTGGGCAAGTAACAAACCAAGTCAGCCTCTTTTTGCAAAAATTACTTCTCTTATCTGAGGAACAAAATGGTCACAGAAGAGGTCCTCATTGTAGTATCAGTGATACGTTAATGAAATTCTTTGTTCTTGTGATGAAGGGGGAAGTCATCTTTTTATATATCCCTTTTTATTTTTTACTCTTTTATATTTTTCTGGTTTATATTTGTTTTTATCTTTGTAACTCTAAACTTTAATAAAAAGTTTTTATAAAAAGTTTACAGAAGAGTGGTCTGAATTATTCCTTTCTTCTCCTGCCAAGGTGATTAGGAATTTTGTCTTTCGTTACCTCTCATTTTACAAGAAAAGTCTTCATAGAAATTCTTAGTTATCTCAAGCAACAAGGGAACAGGAAAACATTCTTCAGCTCTGTCACTTTGCTTTTTATCTCATGTTTACAAAAAGGGACATAATGTTACACACATGCATGCACAAAGAGAGAGAAAGAGAAAAAAACATCACAATCCCTGTTGAAGACTATTTCCATCTATAGCAGTATCTGGTCTGAAACAACCATAGGACTTACATAATTCAAGAACAAACAGTTCATTATCAGAAAGATGGCTTCCTTTGCCAAAGGCACTTTTGTGTAAAAGAGGGAAGGCAGGAGATGTTAATCACAGCATGACATTAAGCCCAGAAGATACAAATCTCCAGGCATGAGGCTGCCTGAATACCTGGTACTGCATCTCAATCCAATTTACCTTTCAGAGCAGAGATGAAGAACGAGGGTGAAGCATAAGAATGGTTGGACTGGAGGCTGAAACATATGAAGAATGGTTGCAGAAACTGGGTATGTCTAGTCTAATGAAAAGAAGGGCTAGTGGAGACATGATAGCAGTGTCCCAATATCTCAGGAGCTGCCAGAGGGAGTTGAACTATTCTCCAAAGCACCTGAGGGCAGGACAAGAAGCAATGGATGGAAACTAATGAAGGGAAGAAGCGATCTAGAACTAAGGAGAACTTTCCTGACAACAATTAATCAGTGGAACAACTTGCCTCCAGAAGCTGTGAATTCTCCAACACTGGTAGTTTTTAAAAAGATGTTGGGTAACCATTTGAAGTGGTGAAGGGTTTCCTGCCTAGGCAGAGGGTTGGACTAGAAGACCTCCAAGTTTCCTTCCAACTCTGTTATTCTATTCTACCCTAAACGTTATTTCTTGCAGAAAGGCTGGAGTGAATATTTTGAAATTGGGAAAGAAGAAACAGATTGCCTGTTCAGGGAGATCATCTAATGTAAGTTACAGAAGAAAAGGCCCCTTTCAGTGCGCTTGAGGGACTCCGCCTCAAAAGTCTCTGATAACATACTGTAGTTCTATGGCTTATCTGGTCCAACTGTTTATGGTGATTTATGATGTTGGCAGGAGCTCTCTAAGATGTCTGAAAGTGACATTTCAAAGGTGAGATACTTTATTATAATCCATCTAGAGCCGCCTCTTAACACAAGATGGGCTGCATATAGGTTTAATAAATAAATAAAAATACTGGGAACTAAAATGGAATCTTTCATGGGCAAGCAGTGGGGTCTATCACTGAGTTACATTCCTCCCCTAATTACAAGTAGTCCTCGGCTTACAACTATTTGTTTAGTGACCGTTTGAAGTTACAATGGCACTGAAAAAAGTGACTTACAACCGTTTCTCATACTTATGACTGCTGCAGCATCCCTATGGTCATGTGATCAAAATTGGGATGCTTGGCAAATAGTTCATACTTATGACGATTGCAGTGTCCTGGTGTCTCCTTTTGCAACCTTCTGGCAAGCAAACTCAAGGGGAACCCAGATTCGTTTAATAATCTTGTTACTATGTGAGTCACTTAACAACTGCAGCAAGAAAGGTCAGAGAGTGGGGCAAAACTCACCTAACATATGTTTCACTTAACAACAGAAATTTGGGCTCAATTGTGGTCAGACCCTCACAGATGTTTTTCTGTTGTCCGTACATGAATCCTTTTTCTTCTTGAAGAATGGTGCAATGACCACAGTTACCCAGAAGTGAGAATGATGAGAGTCATGTTATTTCAAAGTTGCAAGAGCCTCTTGGGCATTTGGGCCTCTGCCTCCGTTTTGTTACATGTCTGATCCAAGAAAGGAATCTCACCCTTTTTTTTTTTTCATCAAGAAGATATGGATGGCTGAATAACATTTTTCCATTGTTGGAAAATGAATACAGTGTACAATCTATCTCTAACATGGCACCCTCTCATACAGATCCAAGGCCTCTGGAGGTTACCAGATTCTGATAGGCAACATTTCATCTTCTGCTTTTGCTTTTGCTACAAACTGTGGCTTGTTATGCCACCATTGCACATTACTGCCGTGATTTGATATACCTCATAAATAGCACTCAGTTCTGCTTTTCTTCACCTTTCTATTGACTTGAGCCTGGGAATTACATATTCATTTTAGTATAATGAATCTTGTCTCCTCCATATTACCCTTGCAAACTTCCCCTGTTCCTTGTTCCAAGCTCATGGTTTTTAAAATGTCAGGTATTGCAACATCTTGAAAACAACCGTCTGCCCGAAGAAGCAAATAAAACACATTCCTTAGACAAACATTTCTACATCTTGAATTGGTAGCACACAGGACAGCCACCCTGCTTCCTGAGTTTTATTAATGGGTTTGTTTTTACTAGGCAAAATTCTGATTTTAATCATTTTAAAACTTGAGAGTCCAATGCTATTCCCAAGTATTGGCAGCACAAGAAGATTTGATGTTTTCTTCAGTCATTGTGCTATAATTCTCCAGGGACTGTATTAGTCTCAGCTACCCACCCCTATAGTTTGTGGACTCCCAAATCATGTTGAGCTTTCCAAGTTACAGAAATTGTCTGCATCATTTCAAAGCATAAGTAGACAAATCTTTCTTGAAAAAAAGGAGTGAGATAAGCAAGCAACCTCCCTTGTGGCTTTCCACACCATTTGCCATTTCCTTGGACCAAAATGGTAATAAAACCCGCTCATACTTGGTGAAAAGGGTCACAAGACCCCCTTATTCCTCCTGTGGTGCTTAATTGTAGCACTGAACTTTTCACCCCAATTATAGTGATGTAATCCATGGCCGGTTGGCTTTGCTTGGGTCTTTTCCATAGCCATCAGAGACCTGTCGCTGTACCAAAACAGGAGGGAGCCACTGTAGTGGTGTGAATTCAGTCATTTTCTCCTTTTACAGAAGAAGAAAAAAAGATGAATGTTTTCTGTTTTTCAGTACTTAATGTCCCCTTCTCCCTTTCAGCTTCCTATTGGACTTTGGGGGTGTTGATAAAAGTAGAAGTCCAGCAATCAGAAAGGAAGGGGATCAAATGCTGCTTTAGCTCTGTATAGTTTTTCAAAATAAACATTCCTTGAATATTCTCCTCCTCTCTCTTCCTCTCTCTCCCCCACTCCACTCCTACAAGTTGCGTCTCCTCTATTGAATGCCTCCCAGTCATCCCATGGCCATGTCAACCAGATGTCTATGGCTATCTGAAGTACATTTTTCCAGCATTGTTCCTTCAGGTGACAGACAATTCAAGCTTTTAAATTAAATTCAGGAAGACTCGGATCTATGTCCACTTTCAGCCATAGATTGACTGAAGTTGCTATCTTGCAGCGTTTGGTCCACCCCATGATGTGGTTACAGTTATGGGAGACTGATGAAAAAGGACAGGCAGTGAAGAGGAAATGGAAATGTTTTGGAGGCTGTGAATTTGATCACAGGAATTCCAGATGAACTCTTGAAAAAGGAATATATTTTGGGATCGGGCCCAAACATTTGTTTTTACTGGCACTCCTTCTGCCTCTTGTTTGTTCAATTTTATGTATAAACTCTCAGAGGAAAGGTGGGGCTTAAATCTTATCACAAAAATCTCACATATCAGATAACAACATAAACAGATGAGGATACCAACCATTGGTCACGCTGGTCAAGGATTCTAGTTGTTGTCATTCCAACTTATGAAGGAAGCTAGTGTGGCTTTTTGATGAGCATACAAACATTTGTGTATAATGTATAATGTGTATAATGATCCTGAGCTAGTCAGGATCTGCTTCCAAGCTGAATAAATCATTTACAGGTAGATATGGCTCTGAGCAGTGACTAGGGAAGGGGAGAAATTTGTTTAGCATACATTTGAAGGAAAGCAATTCCAAATTTGTATTTTTTTAACCAATGTGCAAACCAAAGAATTTTCATTCAATTTAGGATTACTATTATTCATTTCTGACTATTTACGTGAGAAAGCTTAGGCATGGAAGAGATTGATTTACTTTGATTACTAAAATATTAACAAAAATTAGAAAGTGAGAGAAACTGATATTGATTGCTTCTCCAAAATTCTAGTAGTAATACAGTGTCACTGCACACCTACACATCTGTACTAATCCAAACCACAGGGGTTCGAATGGTATTTACTTAATTAGTCTTCTGGGCCTAAATAATTCTAAATCAGAATGTAAGATTTTCAATATAAATGAGTGACTTTCTTCAGAGATCGCAATCTAACATTTGACATCTTTGAGTTTGATGTATGCCTGATTTCTGAGAATTTTTTTTCAGTTATTGTGATGCATTGTTTGATGTCTCTTCCTCCACCAGCATCTATGTATTCAGACATACCACCAGAGCGGCCTGATATTGGGAATATCATGACTCATCCTGATTATCTTGATGGAAACCCGGATCTTATCAAACCTAAAAAGCTGCACAATCCTGTCAGAGCCTCAAAAAGCCACCAAGAACTTCACCGGGAACTACTTATGAATCACAGAAGGTGAGCAAGGGTTGAAGTCATAGGCTTCCTCAGGAGGGGTGGAGTGAGTATTGTATTATGTGTGCTGTGACATCTGTGGTTTTGTCTATGACATTCTAGAAAAATAATGTTGAAGAAGTGGGATAGAATATTGACACCTTGATCAATACTTTGGCATTGGAGATAACTCCTGAGTATATAGCAGGGGAGTCAAAAGAAATTAATCCAATGCATCATAGAACAGGTCAACACAGAATTCTCACTTGAAACTCAAATATCCAGGCTCAAATTATTATATTACAAAGAAAACAACCAGCAGCAATTAAAACAATGATGGATCCACTTTTGGAAGTCCTGAAAGACCACATTGGTGATAAATTGTCCTGCAGAAAATCTGTCCACACATGGTGTCTAAAAATTAATACTGACCTGATGACACATATTCAATTGATGAGGTACAGAAAATCTTGCAGATTTGCAAAAACAGGTTACATTTATTGGGGGCAGCTGTGTTCTGTGTTGTTTTTGAATACCTGCATTGCAGGATATTTCTAGGGAAATTGATTAGAGAATTATCTTTCTATTCTTTTAGGTTCAAAGAAGTATTTTTATATTTTGATTCTCGGAGCCCTGCCTTTACACCTTGAATAGATGTGGTCTAATGAATTTGCCTTCTGTAAAATGGAAGCTGATGGCCAGCCCTCATACACAGCATTTCAGAACAAGCATGTTGTAAATGAAAAACATACATGGGTTTCAAACATACATGGCTTTCAAACATATCTACCATTCTTCAGGTGCAACCTGAAGAATTGAGAACGACTGTTTAGAAAAAAAGCCATTCCTCAGGCATAAAAACAGCTTTCCCTCTACACTGTAGAAACTTTGGCAGAAAAAAGATCCAGGCAAAACTGCATATAAATGTATTTGTGCATTTATCCAATTTGTATACCAACTGCTCCCAGCAAAGCTAGAACCATGGTCACTGTAATACATGAATATCTTTATTTTTGTCCCTAAGGGCTGTTGGATCATTAATAGATGATAGAAAAGTTGAGCTGACATATGCTGGGGTTTGTCAGGGTGTCACTTTGATCCACAAACTTGCCAGCTACATTTTAGCCTAGTATGATGTGTAAGGTTTGAATCATACGATTGGAAGGGACTTCAGAGATCTTATAGTCCAACCCTCTGCACAAGACAGGAGTCTGTAGCATCCCGGTCAAATTCTATTTTTGAAAACCTCCAGTGATGGAAAATCCACAACCCCAGGAGGCAAGATATTCCTTTGTTTGATTGCTCTCACTGCCAGAAAATTTCTCCTAACTTCTAAATTGTATCTCTCTTTGACAAGGTTCCATCCATTACTTCTTGTCCTGCCCTCCGGTGCTTTGGAGAATAAAACAATCTCCTGTTCTTTGTGTCAGCCCCTTAAGTACTGGAATACAACTATCATGTTGTTGTTCCCCCCCCCCCATCCTTCTCTTTGATAGGCCAGAAAAACTTAGATCCCTCAACTGTTCATCATATGATTTAGCCTCCAGGCTCTTTTGCGAACCTCAAAAATTGGATTGAGAAAAGCATAATTCAGCTAATCATGGAAAGGCAGTATTTGTTACAATATAAGATACATAGGCCAACAATTGTGTGAACTATATATCTGTGATGATATTGTCTAGCTCCACATAAAACTTTGATGAAGTTTTTTAAAAATTAAAAATCGTACATATGTTGTTAATTCTGTTGTTCCTGGAAAAAATGCTCTCTCATGATTCAGATAACGTTTTGTCCTCCTCTGGTTCCCTGAAACATCAAAGAATACCAAAGATGAGTTGAGATTTCCCAAAACCTCATAGAAATGTACATATTGTATATCTGTAGATGAAAGGCAAATGACGGACGCATCAAGAGCTATCTAGATGAAAAGAGGGAGAAGTTCGGGCCAATATCCTGTTAGATTCTTAGCCATATCCGCTAGCATTATTTGTTTTTATGAAACACAACTTTCCTTTGCAAAAAGTAGACAAGTAGGAAATGGAGTGAGTCATCCAAACCTAATAAAGAAGGCCTGATGTGATGGGAGTTTGATTAAAAAATAAAATCTCAAAATGCATTCTGACATTAAAAGGAGGGCTGCTGATCTATATCTTCTTAATAACAGTTGTAACTTTAACAACTACTACTGTGTTTCTCCAACAATACGGCCCCCCATAGGAAGACCCAGCATGTTTTCTAGGCATAAAATGAAATTAAGCCCCTCTCCCCAAATTTAGGCCTAGTTTAAAACATGCGAAATTGGGGGGGAGGCGGGGGAGAACTTGCCATTAGGAGTGCCCAGCGGGCAGCTACGCCTCACCATCAGCCGTTCCTAACACCATGGTAGAGCACAGAGGGCTCCTTTACCCGGGTCAGCAGGCGGGTGGCGGCGTGGATGTCCGGCAGCATTTCAACCACTTCTCAGGTCTCCATAGCTTCCACGGTTCCCACCGGTGCTGGCACCTCTCTCATCAGCGCCATCTCCAGCAACAGCGTCTGAATCTCTCCCGCTTTTCCCCCATCCCCGTAACAACAGGAAAAAAAAAACATTTTGAGGTGCCTGTGTTTTGATTTAATCCCGAGTGGCTGGGTGGGCGTGAGAAGAGCCGAGCGAGCGTCTCTGCTGCTGCTACACTTGGTGCTCCAGCCTCGGGCTCTGCAAGTTTGCAAAAGTCCCGGTGCGCAGCCCGTTCCTGCATTCCAAGCACCCAGGCCGAGTGCAGCTGTCACTCTCTTGCCAGCGCCATCTCCAATAACAGCGGCAGCAGCGGCGGGAACCGTGGAAGCATTTCAGCCGCTTCTTGGGTGGGGGAGCCACCTCCGTAACTTCCACAGTTCCCGCCGCTGCTGCCGCTGTTACACGCCCAGCCAGCCGCTGGGATTAAACCAAAACGCAGCGCGCGACACTTCCAGGTACCTCAAAAGGTTCTTTTTTCCTGTTGTTATGGGGACGGGGGGAAAGCGGGAGTGACTCAGGTGCTGTTGTTGGAGACGGCGCTGGTGCGCGGGGAGGGGAGAAATTAACTCACCCCCCAAAAGACGTCCTAGCCATTTTGGGGGGGGACTGAAAAAAAAAAGGCCCGGTCTTATTTTGTGAGAAACACGGTATTTTAATACTTAGCACCTCTTCAAGAAGGCAGCTTACAGCATTTTGAAACACAAAAATCTGCAAAATTTAGATACAACATTGAAAAATAATAGTGTATGGAGCATATCGTGCACTATAAATACAGGCTGAAGGAATTTGGGTTATTCAGTCTTATGAAAAGAAGAGTTAGGGGGGACATGATTGGAATATAGCTGCCCATCTCACAAAAAACTGGACAGTGTAGAATATCTGAACCCCTCTATTGGTTTACTACTTACTTAACCTTACTGTAATAACCACAAAGTTGTTTGTTTGTTTTCCATATTTATAAGCCATCCATTTTTAACCAACCGAGGTGGTAAACACAATAAATCAAAACAAGCATCAGTAAAAGTCAACATCTTAAGCTTTTCAGTATTAAATCCTTACATTAGCTCAATTCTCAAAGCTATGCTACAGTATGAAATGTGAGACTTCTGTGTTAAAAGACAAACATTCTATGGAAGGAAAGCTTGAGTGTGATATTGAGCCTTCAGTCTCCTCTTGAATTCAGCCAGGAAGGGATTAGACTGCACTTTGCAAGAAAGGAACTCCATAAAGCAGGTGCTCCATAAGTAAGTTCTTGTCCTAGTTGGTTCCCTCAGAGTCCCTGCTGGTTACATAATATAACCCACAAGAAATTGTCCTTTGAGAATAATAGGTTGATGTTTTCAAAAAATTCAGCTAGTTTGTTACAGCTGCCTGTGCACTGAAGGGACATTGTAATTGGAAGATTAGGGGTGGGATTTCAGAAATCTGCCCTGCGCATGCCTAGATCGATCTAAAAGAGATTGGAAAAAGTGTTTGACAGTGAAATTATAAGTAGAATCCCTCCTTTGCTATCCATCAAATCATCAAGCACTGAGCTGGAGAACTTTGAAAGAGTTAAGCCAGCAATTGATAGTGAAATGTCCCACATGGAACACAATCCAAAGAGATACCGTTTGTCTTAGTTGTCCAATTTGCAAGACTGACCCCTCGGAATATGGAAACCAGTTAAGAAAACCAACTAAAGCCAGCAATGTGAAAGCCCATTAATTCACTGCACTTCTAACAGATACTGTAGTGAAAGATCTTCTCTGGTGGAAACCAGACTAGAACTTCTAATGATAAATTCCAACATAAGATTGTTGGTTAAATTCCTCCCCCTGCTGGAAAAGGGGGGGAAACGATAAGCTTTTTTTTTTTTGGTCTTGTTTCTTTTAATTAATTCTAAGAAACAATATATTTTTGAAATCTAAGTACTTTCTTCTCTGCCTGGGCTTGTCTTGCAGTTTTTCAGGTTGTATTTATGCATAAACATTCAGCAGGTTATGCATTTGCCTGAAATGGGAACAAGGAAACACTATCCTGCCAAGTTTTCACTCTTTCACATGACGATGTGCTCAGACCTTTAGCAATCTTATTTTAAACTATCAGTTTATTAGAAATGTTTAGGTGCTATACTTTACATGAACTTTTAGTCAAGCTTAAAGGGTAAAAACAAATAACGCAATTGAGATTACAGCTCATGTAAATCAGTAAACCCAAATATTAACCAACATTAATAACAATTCAGTCAGAGGATGATATAACCATTTGTTAAGCACAGGTTGTGTTTTTAGAAATGTGTTTTTGGCACCTGCAGTACTGCTTCAATATAGTTTGCTGGGATCTATAGTTTAACACACTGTTTCTAAACCTTGACAACTTTAAGACCTGCGGATGTCAATTCCCAGAATTCCCCATCCATCTGGCTAGGGAATTCTGGGAGTTAAAGTCCACACATATTAAAGTTGCCAAGGTTGAGAAACCCTGTTCTAATGTAACAGGATCATAAAAGAGTCTCAAGGATTAAGCATAACTGCCTCAACCACAAACCAGACAACATAACTAGGTCAACATGCAAGGAAAAATCTGAAGAAATTCCTAATATAGAGTAGATGGAGAAGTCAAAAATTCAACTCTTCCAAGGTTAGTTCCTAAATGATGTTGAAATCCAGATAGGCATCAGACTGAAGGCTTCTTTGCTTCACACTATGTTGAAGACTAGTTTTTACTAGTTAGAAAGCTAGAAAGAGGATGAGTTTTCATCATGGACAAAACACTTCCTATTTTCTGTTTTCTGACATTGGCCTTTCAAAACATTTTATGTGAAGCTTCAGTTGTCTTTGCTTTCTCTCCATGGAGTGTTACTGTGGGCCCCTGATTGTTATATTTTACCAAGTCAGTCTTGCCTTGTCTAGTGTTATGATCTGACTCAAAATGGTTTAAAGTAGGGCTTTTCAATATTCACTTCTATAGAACTCTATGAGTTCTTTAATTCTGTTTTTATTGTTTTAGAAATACTTATCGTTAGGATTTTAATGCTGTAAACCACCCAGAGTAATTTCGATGTCGGCAGCAAATAAATTTAATAAATAAAATTTCATGGGAACCTGATGGGGTTCTGTGAAAGACTTAAGGGAGAAAAATCACTTGAATGCAGCCAGAGGCATCAATAATGATTTTTCTAAAAGGTGAAAGGGTGCAAATTATGACTATGAGTCTTACCTAAGAAAATGTGACTAAAAAGATCATAAGCCTTATGTCAGGATTCCGGCAGTTGCCCTGATTATATCATGAGCCTCAAGCCAAACTTCAAAACCTATAATGAATCTATTAGAAGCGAACATGTCAGCAGGACCTGGTTGAAGCCGATTCTGAGACACGTAATTCACTGTCACTCTTGATCCTGGTTTCCCTCCACCCCTTTGGGTGCATCATAATTCATATTCTCCAATGAAATACGTCCATAGCCAAGAGTCATCAATCATGTTCTCCAATTAGATTTGCGGGGCAGAAACTCCAATCACCTAGTTACAATCTTTGCAAGTTATTAATGGAATGCACTTTCTATGCCGAACTGCTACACTGCTTTTTCAAACTCCTTTCCCCCCTCCCTTCTGTTGGCAACAATAAAAGAGGCATAGAAATATTTTATGAGTTGACACCTTATTTTGCTATGCTTCCTACAAAGTCATCCTACCCCAGCTCAGCCTTCTTGTACTAATCCCAAGTAGGTGAGGAAAGCAGGAACATTCTTCAGGTAGCAATTTCTAATGGCCTTTTTGTAAGGTCAGGCAGCAAGTGGCAGTTAGTACAAATTTCGTTTTATTGCCATGTTTCCTTTACTAGAGCTGTGCCACTTGTTCAGAAATTCCAAGGTGTTTTTTTTTAAAGGTTCTGCTGCTTGCAAAAGTTTTAAAACCCCTGTTGCGCAGTATGTTAATTTACAGAATATTTAATATCATTTAAAGGATGAGAGCAATCCTTTAATTATCACTGCTTCAACACTGCATCAGGCAGTATTATCAATTCTATACCTTAATCAAACTGGTGGGCCACTGTGCATTTTTATTTATCTGTATTTAGTTTCATATTTTATTTTATTTTGCTTTTAAGGTGAAAATGAGGTTTAATAAAAGTGACACGTTAATTACACGTTAACATTTTCTTCTAGTGCTCTGATACCCATTTTGATTATGCTTTTTGCAATTAATTTTCAAGCTTAAATGGGGGGGAAAATATTTGGAGACTTTTGGACAGTCCACCCTAAGGGGATGGAAAAATGAAAAAATGAAACATTTAGGAAGATGAAAAGAAATTATCTTTTAATGAAGCATCCTGAGTAAACTTTGTTATTTTATAACCAACTATAAGAAGTTTGTTATTTTATCTTAGCAGTTTTTCATGTGTGCCCTTTGACTTTACACATTCTGATGTTTGCTTTCATGGAAGTTCCAAATGAACCTCAACTTCCATGTTGGATTCTGCTGTCAGTTCTTAGAAACAGATAATTTTTCTCTAGACATAGATAAATTTTCTACACATAAATACATTTTCTCTCGAATGACCTGTCCTCAACTTGGCCTGTTCAGACTTTCAGTTCTACATTCATTGCTTTGTAATTCATCCATTTTTCTACTGGATCTTTTCATAATCTGTCCAAAATATGATTATTTGACCTTGGTTATTTGTTTCTCAAGTGAGGACTCTGAATTGATTTGGAAAAAAAGGGCCATTACCTTTTGGAAAAGTACTTTTGAGACAACTATGACCTGGATGATACACAGACATTGATCCATTTGATGGTTTTCTGGGTTATCCATGGCACTCTCAAATGTCTTCTCCAATACAAAAGCATATTCTTTCTATCCTACTTCTGCAAAATCCAGTCTAGGCTTCCATAGAGTGTCACAGGGAATATCTTGCATGAGTATTATTTTTGTAGGTATAGGTACAACCCTGTATCTGAATAATTTCCAAGGACTTCATGGCTACTTTATAAATGCTAGTCTGTGTTGTATTTCTTTACTGCTTGTAGCATTACTGTTATTTGTTGATCTTAAATGCACAAGCTATCCACCACTTTAATATCCTCATTGTCAATTCTAAGGCTAGTTGTTGCACCTGTTGTCATTTCTTGAGTCTTCTTTATATTCAGTTGTGTATATCTTTTCATTCACTTCCTTTTTCGCTTTTTTGCCTGGAGTATCATCAAAAACTGAGCTGCCAATGGGTGACATGCAGCATGACCCCCCCAAAAAAGATGCAGACAGAGTGTTGAGCTTTCCATGCCCCTTATATTCCATATTCCCACTATAATTCTATTTTTTAAGCTTCAGGGTTTTTTTTCTCCAGCATGCTTACATTAGCAGCCATCTGGAAAGCTTTATTTAGCAGTGTCATAACACCATTAGCATTCTGAAAGATCTTAAACTTAGACTGTTGAGTTGCCCCCAACTTGAGAGGTCTATATCAACATTTACCACATTTTGACTACCCATTTGGTTTTCTCAATCAAATGGTTTCCCATGCTTTCTCTTGTGCAGTATGAAATGACGCCTTTGTGGTTGCCACTAAAATGAACACCCACCTGCAACATCTGTTTGTTTGAATTGAGAAGCTGGGGTGTGAAGTATGTGCACTTGGCATTCATTCCCACTGCAGTTTGCTCATTTCTCCAAGGAACATCTCCCCAGCACTATGAGGCAGCATGGCAGGACTGGGGTGGGTAAGGGACAGAAACCAATCTAGAAAGTAAAATTTATTTTACCGGAGAAAGACATACATAGATTATTACCCTGCCAGGTTATTTTACTGCAGTATTTACCTTTTTGGCATTCAAGTTCAATCTCAGTCTTTCACTGTGTACCTTATCTTTTAGAGGAGTTGAGAGTAAACCAGAACTGCAAAGAGTCCTGGAACATCGCCGCCGAAACCAGCTGTTGAAACAGAGGAAAGAAGAAGATGAAGCAAAAAAATTCAAATCTCCATTTGAACAGGAGCTCTTGAAAAGGCAACAGAAGCTTGATGAGGTAGAAATAATTGTGGATTCTACTATGTATGTTAAACCCCTTTAAAAGATACAGAAATTTTCCAATACAGGTAGTTTTTGACTTAACAACCGTTTGTTTAGCAGTGAAAAAAAGGGACTTGTGACCATTGTTCACATTCACAATTGTTGCAACAACCCCATGGTCATGTGATAAAAATTCAGATGCTTGGCAAACTGGTTCCTATTTATGACAGTTATAGTATCCCGGGGTCATGGGATCGTCCTTTGTGACCGTCTGACAAGCAAAGTCAATGGGGAAGCCAGATTTAAACATGTTACCATCTGAACAATTGCAGTGATTCACTTAATAACAGCAACAAGAAAGGTTGTAAAATGGGGCAAAACTCACTTCACAACTATCTCCCTTAGCAACAGAAATCTCGGGTTCAGTTGTGGTCATAAGTCGATAACTACTTGAAGTGTAGAGAATGTGGCTTTGAAGGAAATAGTCAGAAAGTCTTCTGTAGTAAGCAAGGAGGACTAAAGTGTTGTAGAACAGTGGCCCCCAACCTTTTTTGTGCCGCGGCCCAGTACCGGCATCACAAAATGATCCGCAGCCCGGTACCGGCATCAGCACGCATGATAAGGCAAGCCGAGCGACCGGCCAGCCAGCCATCGCCCGCTTCTCCCCACCACCTTCAACTCCACCTTTATATCTTTTGTCGATGGGCTTCGCTTTGGGACGGCTTCGGGACGGTCACTCAGCTCGCCTTGCCTTGGGTGCTGAAAGAATCCTCGCACCTTAGTTTCATTCAAAGACCCCCTCCCTTCAATGAAACTAAGGCACAAGGATTCCTTCAGGACCCAAACGCCACTTTCCAACCAGAAAAGCTCACCTGGAAGCACTTTCTCATCAAACAAGATGGCGGCACCCAGCAAACCAGCGGCCCGGTAGGAAATGTTCCACGGACCGGGACCAGTCCGTGGCCCAGTGGTTGGGGACCCCTGTTGTAGAAGACCTCCAAGGTCCCTTCCAGCCCATGATTCTATGTTTCTATTTCCCTGGTGTCTATTGATGATAAGCTGCTCCATCTTGGAAAGGTTGGATGTGAGCTTGTTTTGCAGTATCCCAACCCTCAAAGCCTATAGGATTTTGGCTTAGCCAAAGTTTGATGATAACAATAGCACTTAGACTTATATACTGCTTCACAGTGCTTTATAGCTCTCTCTCAGCAGTTTACAGAGTCAGCCTATTACCCCCAACAATTTGGGTCCTCATTTTACCCACCTTGGAAGGATGGAAGACTGAGTCTACCTTGAGCCTGGTGGGATTTAAACTGCCAAATTTGCAGAAATCGGGCTCAGAAGCCCCCTTCTTTTAGGTGTTCTGTTGGGGGAATCAAGAAGCCTCGACAGTTCAGAAGGTAACCACTTGATTTTTCTAAAGCGGCTCAGCGGCAGGGCTTCACGATGCCAAGTCAATCTGAGTGGCTTTCGCAATGTCAAGTCTTTGTGAGCTGCTTACAATCGCTACGGAAGCGGCTGAGCGCTCCCTGGGGAGCCGATCTGTGTTCTGATGGCAGTATTTGCCAATTTGCCATCAGAATAATGGGTCTTTAGAAAGGAGAGTCTAGAAGTAGCCTGCGGAACTGCACTCTAATCATTGCGCTACCGTGGCTCATGATATAGTAATAGCACTTAGACATGTACTTCCCTGTAGTGCTGCTTTGCACACTCTGGGTGGTTTACAATGTCAGCATATTGCCCCCAACAATCTGGGTTCTCATTTTATCGATATCAGAAGGATGGAAGGTTGTGAGTCAACCTCAAGCCCCATCAGGATTGAACTCCAGGCTGTGGGCAGAATTTGCCTGCAATACTACATTCTAACCACTGCGCCACATTGGGTAGAATTAGTATTTAACAGTTAGAATGCAGTATCATGACTATATTGATAATATCTCTTCACAAAGCACTGAATATCCTCTTCTGATAATTTCAAATAAATGTTAAAATAACAGGACAGAGAGCACCAAACCTGTGGCATCCCACACTGACTTTGCTAAAATTTTGGGCAATGCACTTCCGCCCCCCTAGGATAAATGACTAACAGGCTCAATAGCAGTAACTATGAGAGGGATCTTGGAGTCTTAGTGGACAACCAGCTAAATATGAGCCAGCAGTGTGCAGCAGCAGCCAAAAAAGCTAATGCTATCCTAAGTTGTATTAACAGAGGGATACAATCAAGATCAAGTGAGGTACTAATACCACTCTATAAAGCCTTAGTAAGACCACACCAAGAGTACTGCATCCACTTTTGTTTACCACATTATAAAAAAGAAATTGAGACTCTAGAAAAAGTACAGAGAAGAGCAACCAGGATGATTAGGGGACTGGAGGCTAAAACATTCAATGAACAGTTGTAGGAATTGGGCTTGGCTACTCTAGTGGAGAGAAGGACCAGGGGAAACATGATAGCGGTCTTCCAATATTTGAGGGCCTGCCACAGAGAGGAAGAGGTCAAGCTATTTTCTAAAGCGCCTGTAGGCCAAACAAGGAATAATGGATGGAAACTGAACAAGGAGAGATTTAACCTGGAAATAAGGAGAAACTTTCTGACAGAACAATCAACCAATGGAACAGCTTGCCCTCAGAAGCTGTGGGAAGCGCCATCACTTGACACTTTCAAGAAGAGATTGGATTGCCATTTGTCAGAAATAGTGTAAGGTCTCCTGCTTGGGCGGGGGGTTGGACTAGATGACCTACAAGGTCTCTTCCAACTCTGATTATCTGAAACCTAACAATCCACACTGAAATAAGAGTAGAACCACTATAAAACATTACCCCCCACAACTCCCAACCTTGTAGGGGCCCCAGAAGTATACAGTATAAATACAAGTATAAAAGTATAAATTCACCATTTATTTCCCCACAATTGGTTTTGTAGATTTAAGTATCTTTATCCTCAAACTGCCAACAGACACAAAACTGGCCATTTTGAGGGAGGATTCTCATTAATATGTTGATACTAAAGCCTGCGCTCAAGTCTGAAAGAGGAGAGAGAACCATATAAAAATTATCTGATCTCCTATGGAAAATTGTTAAAAGGAAGTGATGGAAAAAATATTATATATTTAAAGCAGGCAGTGCAACAGCCCAATGACCTACAATTCCAGTCATTTCCATTTGATACACAGAGAGATTTTGGGCTTAAGGGACTTGTGTGAATCTTCACTTCATTACATTAGAAGGTAAAGCTTCAAAACAGGCCAAAAATTAAAGACTGTTCAGAACTTGGGAACTACAAAACCAGAGGGATAATATGTCAGAATAAAGTTTCTCTTTCAATTGGCAAAAAGCATGAAACTAAACTATTATGAGTTTCCACATACTAAATTCTTTGTCTAATGTTCTCTTTGGTCTTAAACAAGCCACGCCTCAAATTTCAGTTTCTTTTAATCAACAAAAGTGAACATTCTGGAGGTTGCGTAACCCACAAGACTGTTATCATGTCACAAAACAAAACAACTGTAACTCTCTCAGGTGCAGAAGCTTCCATAACAGGGTTTTCTTCCCCCTGTCCTTATGTTCATTGTTTACAATAATTTGTAACATTTTGAAAACAAAATATTTAACAACATGGTTAAATTTAAGTTGGTTAAAAGCTATATCTGCCCAGATAGGAAGATAGAAAGAGTCCATTTGGTAATTTGGTGGTTAAGACACCAGACTAGAAAGTGGGGGACCATCAGATATTCAGCAGGTTCTGACCAGTTCTGTAGAACTGGTAGTGGAAATTTTGAGCAGTTCAGAGAACCAGCAAACACCACCTCTGACTGGAGATTTTATAGTATCCTTCCCCTGTCATGCCCACCAAGCCACGCCCACAGAACCAGTAAAAAAAAATTTGAATCCCACCACTGGGGACCATGAGTTCTAGTCCTACTTTAGCTATGAAAGCTAACCTGGTGACTTTGGGCCAATCACAAGAAGATTGTGAGTTCTAGTCCCATCTTAGCCATGAAAGCCAGCTGGATGACTTTGAGACAGTCTTTCTTTCTCAGCCCAAACTTCACATGTTGTTATTGTGGAGAATACAGGAAGAGGAAAGTGTGCTGGATATTTCATGATCATGAGTTATTTATAAAAATAATAAAGGCAGAATACAAAGGGGGGGGGAGGAGAGAGAGATGATGAGAGTCAATGGTGAAAGAAAGAGATTTAGATTGATAGAGAGAGATGAGAGATGGGTAGGTAGGTAGGTGAATAGATAAAGATGATTGATAGATAGATAGACAGACAGGCAGAGACAGACAGACATAGAGACAGATGATAGATTATATCTTTGACTAGGAGCTGTAGATGAAATAGCTGAGAAAAGAGGAAAAAAGAAGCAACATTTTCCTATGCAACAAACCCAAATTGAGTTAATTTAATACATGTCTGGAAGGAAAAGAATTAAACACTAGCAAAGAATTGATTTTTTTAAAAGAAAGTTTTAAGCATGCACACAGGAGGATCGTTTATTACTGAATCTTATTATTGAGCACAATTAGAGACACATTTTGAATGATGACATCCATTTTCCAGCAGTTACTGCATCAAGAAAATAGAAGTGACCTTAAGGCATCCATTGGACTGAAAACTGCTGATGAGTTGATAAGCTATTAGTTGCCTGATATAGGGCTGAGAATTCAGATAACCCTTTAGGTTCTAAACTGTGATTAAGAAAAACAAATGTTGGTTCGGTGGCTGGATGCAGATGGTGACACTTAAGGCTAGTTGTCTACAGCCTCAACAAGTCACACATCACATAGCCTATTAACTTCCCTTAAAAGTTTTGTCTGGTCTCCCATTTCCTATAACTGATAGATGTTGCTGGGATTATTTTTAAAAAAATCATCTATTTATTTCTTCTGCCTTTTTTTAATCAGCTGGAAAGGGAAGATGAGAAGCAAGAAGAGAATGCACCAGAATTTATTAAAGTCAAAGAAAATCTGAGGAGAACGTCTACACTACCTGGGGCAGAGTAAAGCATCAGCTAAGACCAAAATAGATTAAGACCTTCTGCTTTGAATACCTACATGCTGACATTTTGGTAAACAGTGGACATTCAAAGTTTTGTCTTGGTGGCTACTTACTGTTCATTAATGTTTGCTCCAAATTAAAAAAAAATGATTGGGGCATTTTCACATCTAGGAAAAGAAGAACATCAAAACAAAGTGGCTTTTTGTTCACAAGGGTCCTCAGATGAGGAAAAAGATAGGGAAGGTAATAGAGACCTCACCTTCCTTTCAAGTACTGAGATAATACGGTGCCCTTTCCCATCACTAACCCTTGGCTAATCCTTTGAGATTCAGCAGGACAGGCGCACGTGTGGAATGGGAGATGTAGTCTGAAGAGAGATTGCTAAACATTTGAGATTCAGATGTTTATATAGCAGAGCAGTTCCGTTGCTGGTTTTGAAACCTTCAGTTTAATTAAATTAATGCTTGAGGGAGCAAGTTGGGAAACTAAAAAAGATGGTAAAAAGGGAAGTTACGGTCAATAAGAAAGTACTAGCTAAGATTTAGAGCACATCAACCTAGGCTGGCACCTTAGGTGCTGTATCCCATCAACAATAACCAGTAAAAAATATGTGTGTGTTTCCTCGTTCTTGGGATTTAGCAAATATGAAATGTTTAAGATTCTTGTCACAAATCAACATCCGTGATAGTTGGATAGTCAAGTTTACTTGACAAATAGATTCTGAGTTATTTCCAAAGAGTGGGATTGTCCACCAGTCTTTCAGCATCTAATTCTGATGTCCAGAATGAGAAGCAGAAATAAGATAAGATACTTCCTGGGGAAAAAAAATCCTTAAGAATTGCAGAAAAAGTAGGAGAAAGTGCAGTCCTCTGAATGTGTAAAAAAAAAGCGACACAAAAAGCATACATCTATGTGTGTGTCTCAAAAAAGCAAGTGACAAGTCCACAAAAAGGGATTTGCGCGGGAAATGACAAAGAATTCTAGGGAGAAAGTCGAAGAACAATACCTGATGTAGGGTCTTCTGAATTTTGCACAAATATAATACATTAAACTAAGATTCTTTTTTAAAAATATATAATAAAGTTGAAGATTATTTATAGATTATAGCTATATGAAGTCTACTCTTCCCAGGTGCCCTTTCCTGTTTTAAAAACCCTGAATATGCTTACTATCCAGATATTGACTGTAATACAGACTGTTTTAGATGGATTTTAAAATATATGATAGCAGGAGGGCAAAAAGATGAGTTGCCAATCCCTCTTCAGCTCTGCTTTCTGGATGTGGGGTCAGGAATAGCTCACATGCCCATCCAAGGAAGTACCACTCATTTTTGGTTTTCAAAAGGATAGCTGTGTTTTTTTACACCAAAAACAAGAGACTTCATCTAAAGACTTCTTAAATTTCTTTGTTATTCGTTTATTATTCATTTAGTCTTGAACCGAAGATAAACATAACCAAAAGCCACAATTGGGTTTTTTTCTTAGTTTCGCAATTTATAGTACAGATTACGGTCAGCTTTTCTGGTAGGATGGACCCTCTGAGATGCAGATTACCACCAGGGAAGTACCAGCCAAAATAATACATAACACATATTATCTATATGTATCATCTAGAATTCATATATGATTTGATTGTAACCACAGATTTTGGGGTGGGGGGAAAGCTTATTAATAAAGAGCAGTTGTATATTTTGTGAAGTTTACATTCTGTGAATTAAAGGAGGCAACAACCAAATAAACTTAATTTTACTGTTTAAAATGAGTAAAATTGATGGATTTGTGATTTTCTATTAAAAAAAACCAAGAAGTTACATCTTCAGAGGTATCAAGAGGAACAAGTTTGTTTTCTCGTGCCTTCCGTGTTGCTTTTGAGATGCATGGAGATGTGTTGGGACCTCAACATCATGCCAAGAAGACAGCTGATCATGGTAGGATATAAAGATTGGAGCACCATTTATCAAATGGGATTATAGAGGGAGATGGGTGCCAGAGAGAAGAAAACAAGCAGAACACAACAAGAAGGAATTTCTGGATTTTCAAGTTTCCACAACAAAGCTGCCAGGCTTGAAGTCAGCTAAAACCTCACAGACGTGATGTGGCAGAGTTAGGAAAGGATCTTGATTGGATACTGCAGTGAAGCTGTATAAAAGAACACAGAGTAGTCTATATCAGAACGTTGCTGTGTATTTCTCCTTCTGTTCTAGAGTATTTCAGGCCTAGTGCCTCATGGGCTCAAAACTCAGTAGTTGATTAACTATTGATTAAACTGTCAAGCGTGCCCTGAGATTTGCTGGCTTTAGATTTGCCCCTCCTACCTATCCAAAGCTATTCTCTGTGTGTATAAAACAGCCTTTGCATTGCGTGGATGGGTTCATGCATGATTTTCTTACACGTTTTTTTAATAAGCCATAATTAGCCAGGTTATTCACTTAGCAAATACTCAGCAAAACACAATCGATAAACTTCTAACTTGCTAGCCTTACTGTATCTGGACTACTAAAAATACGGACTTTTGATTTTTGCAAATATGATAGATCTATGAATCACACCAAGCCATAATATGATTTTTTATTTTTAGCAGGGCACAATCAGTGGTGGTATTCTATTGGTTTGGCCTGGTTCTGCCGAACTGATAGAATATCACCAGTTCTCTCCGCCGCTCTGCTGTGGGGCCCACCCACCTGCCCGGGCTTCCATACTCACCTTTATCCTCTGCTTTTGAAGCACAGCTGCTTTGCGCGGCACAGCACAGTGCTGTGCGGCAGCTGCTGAAGCAACTGAGAGTGCAGGCTTGCAGGAAGTGAGTTGGAACACCTCTGCACTTGCACCTTTGCACCTGCGCAAAGTGCACATTTGGCACACACGCGCGCACAAAGTGTGTGCATGCACACAAAGTGCGCCCACCAAGCCACGCCCACTGAACCAGTGGTAAAACTTTTTGGTTCCCACCTCTGAGCACGAGGTAGAGGGTCAAGCTTCCAAAACCATTTTCAGTGTAAAAGGGACAAAATCACAATGCTCTTTAAATAACTGGAAGCAAGTACAGGCTAGCTGGGTGACATACGTATTGGGCTATTAAATCCCATCTTAATGAATTCAGTATGTAAGCAGGAGTGCATAGAAATATGATACAGATGCACCAACATTCCCGCTGTCGTGGGTAGTTTAGCATTTTGGAAATGTTTGGGGGAAGGAAGTAACACGAGCTTTGCATTCTTCAGGGCAATGTTTCTCAACCTCAGTGAACTTAAGATGTGTATTGAGCATGGAAACAGCACAGCTGGAACGAAGGCTTAACTCCCTTTTATTTCTCCAACTTTCCCCAAAAAGTCCCATCGTTCACTACAAGTCCAGGAGTCAATTACTAAACATGCATCTCCAATAGTTCCCAGCTGCTATTAGTCCAGAGGAGCAGCACAGTTCTGAGAGCAGCCACAATTCAGGGCATTGGGTTCCAAGGAAGAGTTCACTGGGACTGCAGCACTGTGTCACTGCAAACTCACACATAGCCAGGCCAGGCAAGCAGGGCAAGGCACAGCAAAGGATCCAGATATCAGTAACCACACATGAAACGAAAAGGCAACACTTGTTCCCAACAAGTGTCCCTCCCAATGGCATCTCTTTAAATCTCATTCCCAAGGTGAGCCTTGTGAAGGGGGGCAGGGAGCCCTCCTCCCGAGTTGTTGGGTTGCCCTGCACTGATTCCACTTCCTCTCCATTCTCCATCAGGAGTGGTATTCTACCGGTTCTGTCCAGTTCTATAGAACCGGTTGTTACAGTTCCTGGTAGTTCAGAGAACCGGTAAAATGGGCACCTGGCTGGCCCCGCCCCTCTCATCCGCTTCTCCGCTCACTGCCCAGTCAGTCCTTATGGCTTCTCTGTTTTTTCTGTTGTTGAAGTGTTCGTTTTGGTGATAGTTCTGGTATTTTTAAAGCAATCTCATGTCCTGTGGCTTTGAGGTGTTGGACCAGGAAAGAGGTCGGTTCTTCTTTTTTGATTGAGTTCTTGTGTTCTTCAATGTGTGTACTTATTCTTCTGTTAGTTTGTCCGATGTATGTGGTGGGACAGGTGGTGCAAGATCCTCCAAAAACACAACATTAAGACAGCATTCTACACAAACAGAAAAATATCCACCATCCTAAGAAATCCTAAAGACAGAATCGAGTTAGAAAATCAAGGAGTATACGAAATCCCATGCACCGTCTGCCCCAACACATACATCGGACAAACCAACAGAAGAATTAGTGCACACATTGAAGAACACAAGAACTCAATCAAAAAAGAAGAACTGACCTCTTCCCTGGTCCAGCACCTCAAGAAGCAGATGAGAGGGGCGGGGCCAGCCAGGGGCCCATTTTACCAGTTCTCCGAACTACCAGGAACTGTAACAACCAGTTCTATAGAACTGGACAGAACTGGTAGAATACCACTCCTGTTGGAGAATGGAGAGGAGGTGGAATCAGTGCAGGGCACCTCAAAGCCACAGGACATGAGATTGACTTTAAAAATACCAGGACTATCGCCAAAACCAAACACTTCAACAACAGAATAATCAGAGAAGCCATAGAGATAGAAAAACACCCACACAGCATGAATAAACGAGATGATACCTCCCGCCTATCAGCCATTTGGAAACCCGCCCTCATTAACAAACGAGTACCTAACATGAAGAATGACACCAGACCCACACCCACGAAGGCCACACAAGATGCTACCACCATACTTCCACATAGAAAGCAGATTCACACCCACACAGATGATGAGACACGACCACGGACCAGAAGCCGTACCGCAGCTGCATCACTACCCGCTTCAAACCCCTCCAACCCATACATGAAGCAAACTGACGCCCAACATGAAGATGTGGCACGACCATGAACGCGAAGCCAAACAACAGGATCACAGCTCACCAGCTCAAATCCCCCGACAACTAAGACTAACCTGAACACAGCCAAGCCCCCACCTGAACAAAACACACCCCCAGCCAATCAGAACACAGCCAACCCCCCAACCAATCAGATCACAGCCTGGCTCCCAACCAATGAGAACACACCCCCACCCAATCAGAACACAGCCAAGCCCCCACCCAGTCAAGCCGCACTCGCACTGGCAGTTAAAAGAAAAAAACAGCTGCAAGCTCACATTACTCCAAGAAGCACAAAGCCAAAGACACAAGCCTGAAGATGACGAATGAGATTTCGTCGAAACATCACCAAAATACTTCCAATTTTACACGGGAGAAAACCTGAATAACCAAAGATCCACTTACAAATACCCGCGAAAACCTCAGAAAACAAATATATATATATATATATATATATACCGTGTTTCTCATATAATAAGGCTGGGTCTTTTTTTTTTTTTGAGCCCCGAAAAAACAGCTAGGCCGTCTTTTCGGGGGTGACTTAATTCCCCCCCTTACATCTTAGGGCAGGCGGCGACGGCTTGGATGTTGACCTTGGCGTTGGTGGGGCACTTTGTATCAGGGTCAACGCAGGCAGCACCATATCCGGGTATGCAACAAAAGTACTTCCTAACAGCAAGCCCCCCCGCCATTTCCCCCCCATTTCGCATGTTTTAATATAGGCCTTAATTTGGGGGGAGGGGCTTCATTTTATTTCATGCCTATAAAACATGCTGGGA